TGTTCTTTGAGTACACCATTCTACATCTCTGAAGCCTGTTGCAGGAATCAAATCCTTGATATTTCAAATGTATCTACCATCTTATTAATTTCAGTTATTTTGGCTCCATAACTCTATGGGGTAGTGAATTCCTGACATCCACTACTGTCTTAGAGAAGAAATTCCCTCATGTCTCAGTTTTAAATGAATGTCCCTTTATTCTGTAACTATTGTTGAGAAGTTGGGTAGAGTACTTGTGGATTGGGAGGCAGGAAGTTAGAATGTGGTGTTTGTAAAATGCTATGGGGGAAAGCATTGTGTGATCCCTTTAAAAGATCATCTGCTTTTTCTGTGCTTAGAGATTTAAAATGGATATCTGTGAGCAGCAGCTTGAAAGTTTTTTGAAATATTTGCATTGAAAGGCCGTACAGTTAGCAGGCCAAGCAGCAGTTTTTACCAAGAAAACAGGCTTTTGAATTTAGCAAATCAATTTGATCTAGGCACTTAGATACCAAAAACCTATTAAAAATTAGGTCTGATGGTTTTGACAACATAGGACCAATCCTATTGTAAAAAATATTGATATGTCATCAAAGGTATAAAATGTGGGCATTTGGACAAAGCCCAAAGCTAGCTGCCATCTGCCGGAGCTAACGGCCCTCAGCTTTCAAGAGAGAATCGCTGGCTCTCACAGCCTCCTCTATGTCTTAGAGAAATCACAATTCAAATAATAATGGTACCAATGGCACAACTAGTTAATATTCCTGACAGAAGAATTGATGGAGAAGGTACAGAACATTCCGAAAGGCACATAACCTGGCTCTAATTTCGAGAGACTAATTTTTTTTATATATAAGAGGGACTTGTATTTATTGGAATGGCATACCATTAGAATCTTGCTTTATTTGGGAATAGTTAGTAGTTGGAAGAGATTTATTTGGTTTCTTAATAGTTGAGTTAATTTGTTCATTGTTAGAGTTAGATAAATAAATTGTTACTTGTTGATTTTAAACCAAGTATCAGGGATTTGTTTTATTTAACCACTAGAAGTTGCTGAAAGGCAGGTTACATCACTTTTCACACTCCTCTTTGGGTGTTTTGGTGTTAGTTCTCAGAGGATAGTCAACCTCCACTTTGTAACATTATCTCCCCTAGTTCAAGATTTCCTCACAATTGGAAACATCTACTCTGCCAAGAATCTTGGTATATTTCAATAGAGCACCCCTCATTCTTGTAAACTTCCATGAATAAAATTTTAGCCTATTTAACTATTCTCAAGTCAACCCCTTCATCTCAGGAATTAGATTATTGAATCTCTTTCAAACTGCCTCTAATACCAGTATGTCCAGTTTTTTTAAAAGTATAGGTCCAAAACTGTACACAGTACTCCAGGTGCAGCCTTACCAACACCCTGTAATGTTGTAACTAGACTTCCCTAGTTTTAAACTCCTTAATAATAAAGGCCAAAGTTCCATGTGCCTTTTTAATTATTTGCTGTAACTTAATCAATCCTTAATCCTCAATCATTCATTCTGTAAAATGTGTTCTCTCACCTGAATCCATTTGTAATGGTATTCCCCATTTTGGGATTACCTCTCTGCCATTATTCAAGCAACATTTGTTGCTGAATAGTCTCAGGAGAGATAGGCTTCCATTCACCCAGTAAGTTGGTCGATAATAACCAAACAATATGTTTATTCCCAACTTGGTAGGAGGGGCCCTTTAACAACAATTTCCAACTGTCCCCACTGTCTGTTTGGATTGGGCTGGTGTAACCTGCAAACATTGACTAGTCATCCTGTTATGTTGGGCACATACTAGGCAATACTGAAAGTGTTTTGCTATGTCTCTTACCAGCACCAGCATCTGCTCCATCCTCTCCAGCATGGCTCCCCACCTACAGTGTACATTTCCATGTATAGTTTGTGAGGTGATGCTGAGTACGGTGTGGTGCTACCACCCTTTCTTCTCTTTCCCAGATGTCATCAGCACTTTTTACAAATCCTTGTTCTTCCAATCACATATCTCTTCCTCTTCCTTATCCCTGTGTGAATGTAACATGTACATTTTCTCCAAACCAATTATTGCTGCTTCTACCTGACTGCCTTCTTAGTTATGTCATCTGCCCATCGACTGCCTAATTGAATGGGATCCGATCCCTTCTGATGTGCTTTCATCTTTCTCACTGCTGTCTCTAGTGGTAGTTTAACAGTTTGCCAAATTCCTGAATTACTCTGTCATTCTGTGTCTGCTCTCCTCCTGAGGTGATGTGCCCTTTCAATTCAATTGTGTAAATCGTGTAAAATCCCAAAAACTTATCTACTGTCTATATAAATATTAGTATGTTGAGTGCAGTCTCACATTATATATTAATCTGCACTCAACATTTCAATTTGTTTTCAAAGGTCCTATTTCTTCTCTCCAACACATCTAAAGATATGAGTGAACACTATCTATCTGAGATGATATTGTCCACTACAGATTACCTCAATAACATTCTTGAACAGACATTGGTGCCAATTCTTATTTACCAGCACTTAGACACAAATCAAGTCAAATAAACTTTAAAAGATCCTACAGCTCCCTTTTTCTTAAACTCGAAACAAAGTACATTAACCAATTCAAATAAAAACTGAAAGAACTGCAGATGCTTAAATCAGGAACAAAAACAGAAGTTGCTGGAAAAGCTCAGCAGGTCTGACAGCATCTGTGAAGAAAAATCAGAGTTAATGTTTCGGATCAAGTGACCCTTCCTCAGAACAGATGCTGCCAGACCTACTGAGCTTTTCCAACAACTTCTGTTTTTGTTGCAATAACCATTTCTACCTTCTCATGAGACTTAGAAATATCCTTACAATATCTTTACCAACAGAAATGAAACAAACATATTTGATCTCCAGCACTAACATCTTTGAACATTTTCATCCTTTACTTTCAGGCCTTTGAACATTTCACAATTCCAGATTGCAGAATAAGAGATTTTCCTGTTCCCAAAGAGCTGCATGATAGTGATAGTGCAACAATCTCCCTTCTGTAAAATTCCACGTGCAGTTTCTTATCATGAGGAAGTGTCATATGTGTTTCAAAGGACTTACACACTCATATATATGCGCGCGCGCACACATCTTTCCAACACATATACACACACAAAAACCCTCCTCCCAAAACCCACCTCCACACACAAACACCCCCCCAAACCACGTACACACGCACACACAAACCCTGCCAAACTACATGCCCGTGCACACACAAACACCTTGCTCAACCATACATACACACGCCTGCGCAAACCACCCCCCCAACCACACACATGCTCAGACAAACGCCCCGCCCATACACGTCAGTTGAACACAGTCATATCCAACAGTGGAACAGCTGCTTACCCTAGTTTATTATAATGAATACGAAGCAAGTGCACAAAATTTCTAAAGGTATGATACATGATTAATGGTCAGAAGTCACATGACACCAGGTTACAGTCCAACAGGTTTATTTAAAACCACAAGCTTTCAAAGACTTTACATGACAAAGGGCAGTGCTTTGAAAGCTTGTGATTTCACTTAAACCTGTTGGACTATAACTTGGTGTTGTGTGACTTCTGACTTTGTCCATCCCAGTCCAAAACCAGCACCTCCACATCATGATTAATAGTGTTCTGATTAATTTGTAGCCTTCATGTGGGGTAGTGAGCTGTCTTCTTGAACAGCTGCAGACTGCACATACGTCCACAGTGCTGTTAAAGAGGGAGTTCCAGGATCTTAACCGAAGTTACTGGAAAAGCCCAGCAGGTCTGGCAGCATCTGTGAAGAAAAATCGGAGTTAACGTTTGGGTCTGGTGACCTTCCCTCAGAACTGATGGTAGCTTGGAAAATATTGCTTTATATGCAGAAGATTCGGTGGGGGTAGGGGGTAAGAGGTGAATGATAGGTGGGGATAAAGCTCAAAGAAGAGAGAAGAGCAGTTGGACAGACAAAGGAGTTGATAATGATCTGGCTAGGAGGGTGAATAGTTGTTAATGGGGACTGTTAGTGACTAATAATAGGTAGTGTCTAATGGCAGGCTATGTGGTAACAAGGCCTGGTGTGTGGTGTAGGGGACTGGGACATGGGAGAGTTCAGGCCATAAAATTATTGAACTCAGTATTGAGTCTGGAGGGCTGCAGGGTCCCCAAGCGGAAAATGAGGTGTTGTTCTTTCAGCTTGTGCTGAGCTTCACTAGAACACTGCAGCGAGCCAGAAGCAGAGATGTTGGTGAGGGTACTGGGTGGTGTGTTAAAGTGGCAGGTGACTGGAAGCTCAGGATCTTTTTTGCAAGCAGAACATAGATGTTCTACTGCGAAGCGGCCATCCAGTCACGCTTTGTTTCCCCAATGTAGAGGAGCCACCTTGTGAGCAGCGAATGCAGTAGACTAGAGTGCATGAGGTGCAGGTAAAATGCTGCTTCACCTGGAAGTTATGTTTGGGCCCTTGGATACTGAGGAGGGAGGAGGTAAATGGACAGGTGTTACACCTTCAGCGATTGTAGGGAAGGTGTCATGGGACTGTGGGGGAGTATTGGGAGTTAAGGAAGATTGGACCAGGGTGTCCTGGAGGGAACAGTCTCTGCGGAAAGCGGACAGGGGAGGGGAGGGGAGTATGTGTCTGGTGGTGGCATCAATTGGTGATTTTAAATTAGTTGTCAGTGTAATGATAGGCATGTAGACTGAGCAAAACAAAAGATTGGCAGATTAAATCAAACAGTATGTTTCTATGACTATTTACTGCAGAAAAAGTAGTGATTGATTCCAAACAGCCTGTGCTTGTAAAACTCAACAGTGCCCAGCATTAGGTATAATTCTGTGATTGGACAACATTTGCTAAATGAGCTTGTGTGCAAAGAATTACACAATTGAGTTTTGATGAATACAAGACAAAAAGCTTCAACAAAATGCATTGTTTTCAGTGTTGAGTGAAGTTGGTTCATCTGCATAAATGATGAATTATTAAATATGCTGTTGTATTTTTGAATTTATATTTGCACAGTGCCCGACCAATCAGCAGAGCTCTGGATCTTGGAGCTAACATAGTCGTAACTGGCAGATGCATCGACAGTGGCATTGCTCTGGGACCACTTATTCATTCTGTAAGGCACTCTACTTTATTATGGTTCCTAGCTTTTCACTGATCATGTATTATCATGTTAGATCATGCATTTCTCAATTGTGGTAAAGATAAATTGACAGAACATTTAAAGAAAATTTGTTTAATTAATCCATGAGCAGTGAGAGCATTTTGTACCATTTTAAAATTAACCATTAATTAATTAAACATGCAAACTTACAGATATAAAAATAGCAATCTAGTACATTGTTAATTGAAGTGCTGCTGATCTAAACAAATCAATAATGTGAATTGGGGTGATATTTGCTACACTGTTAAGTGGTTGATGCAATGAGAAGGAGAAGCGTATTACAATATAGTACACAAGAAAACCACACTGATATAGAAAAATTAATGATATTTTAATTTTCTTCTATTCATCCGGTGCAGAAAAGGCCCTTTGGCCCATTGACCCTGCTAATTTAAATTAATTATCAATTTAAATAGTATATTTTCTGCCCAAATAAACTTCTAGCTTCAACCAAGCTTTCTGTCAAATGTTTTGGATCAGTTTCATGACGTATTTATGTAACACATCACCTATGATTAAGAAAGGTTCAAGCCCCACACCAAAGAAATGAGCACAAGCTTTATGTTGTTACTTCTGTGCAGTGTTGAGGAAGTGATAAGCTGTCAGGGGTGCCATCTTTTGAACTAGACATTAAAGCAAAGCGGTTTCTCTCTCTAAAACATCTCATGACACTATTGGAAAACAGCAGGGGAATCTTCCCAAGTAAATTGGCCAATTTGTTTCATACATTGGCTGACACCAAAAACAAAAGAGGGTGTTTATTCTTCACCTTGGTGTATATGGGACATCACTGCATGCAAATTGACTGCTGAATTTCCCATGTTACTAGTAATTCTTTATTAGCTGTAAAATAATTGAAAATATCCTCAGATTGAGAAGGATGGTATATAAATACAATTTTTTTCTTGTTTCATTCTTGCAATAATGAACTAATTATTGGGTTTGCTACTTTGGATTAGGTTATTACAGTTAAATTTAGTTTTTCAAGTGAAGTAAATAGGAAACTTAATATTGTTCCTTCTTTCTTACAATTATATAGCAACTTCCTTCAAAAACGTAGATGCAAACATTGGGTGAGAGCAGAAAGGAATTTGGCAGCAATAATAATAATCAGTGGCTTATCCTACTACATAAGTCCGGTATGAAAGAGCTTCACTGCCCTTGGAATTATGTGCCATTGCCTTCAGAAAAGGAGATAAAGAAGTGAGTGCAGAAGTTAGAATGGAAAATTTAAGAAGGAAAAGCTTTCCAAAATATGGGCTATTTTCAGAAAATTTATCTTGTTGAGGGAAGGGAAAGGTTTGCATTTGTTGCAGTGGTTTCTAATGTTAATTAAAGTATCCATTTGAATAATATACTTTTTAAAATTTTTTAAATTCTTCCTGCCAATGTGCACAAATTCAGATTTTCCCACTTTATACTCCAGCTGCCAATTTTTGTCCCACTCTCTTAATCTAAGTCCCTTTGCAGACTCTATGTCATAATCATATTACATGGAAAGAGACCCTTCGGTCCAACCAGTCCATGCCGACCATAATCCCAAACAAAACTAGTCCCACCTGTCTTTTAAATGTTGTAACTGTACCCGCATCCATCACTTCCTCTGGAAGTTCATTCCGCACATGAATCACTCCCTGAGTAAACAAAATAAAAGTCCCACTGTCTTTTTTTTTAACTTTCTCCACTTACCTTAAAAAATGCCCCCTAGTCTTGAAATCCCCCACCCTAGGTAAAAGACCCCTGCCATTCACCTTATCTAAACCCTTATCTGTATGTCTTCTTCACAACCTACTTTCTACCTTCTTTATGTCATCACTAAATTTAGTAACCATACTTTATGTCCCTTTGTCCAAGTCCTTGAGATAAATTGAGGCCTCAGCATTGATCCCTGTGGCACGTTAAATAACAGGTCAAATGTTGGTCATACAGAGTCCAGGCACATACGTTTTGACACAATTTATTCCAATTTAAACATCATATAACTTCAACACTTAATTACTTGTTCCTCACATATATAAAAACCAAATTCTAATCCAATTATGCCATTATTAACATACAACCATCACCTCTTCTCTAGTTGCATTTGGTCACAGGCGTCCCAGCCAGACCCTACAAATAACCTGGCTCTACACTCAGCACATCTTGCCAAATCAAACAATGGCCCATCTATTACCAGCTCTCATTTTCTGTGAGCTAACCAATCCTGTGTTCATTCTAACACGTTATCCCCTACACCATGATCTGTTATTTTACATAGTAACCATTGATGTGGTATCAAATGCTGTATGATCACAGCTGATAGTACTACTGGACAAGTTAAATCCCACTGTCTTGTTTTAATTTTCTTCCCTTTTTGTCTTCAGTTGTTTTCCTTTCTCTTTTTTCATTAGTGTTTCTTTTTCTTACTTTTCTAATTTTTTTTCTTTTTTTTCTTCAATTCAAATCTTTACATTTCTCTTTCTCATTCTTTCTCTAACCAAAGTATTTTTATGTTTCTTTCTAAATAATTTTCTTTTTCATTTCTAACTGTATCTTTGCATATTCTAGCTATGACACCTCAACTTCAGTTTTCTATTCAAATTCAAAATTGCTTTCAGTATCTCCTACTTACAACATTGTGCTTTTAGTCCTATCTTCAGTTTATTTGCTAACTTCCTCAGTTTAGTCTTATCCAAAGATTTCAAATAATCCACTGCTATGTCATCTACAACCAGGACTCTTAGCAACGCCCAAAACCATTTTACGAATCATATCATGCAGTAGACTTTACCACAATGTTCAACACCTCTGTACCCAATTGTTTACAAGAGGCACAGACAATCTTTATTCAATACCTTCAAATCCCAGTCAGCAGCCTCCATATAAAATCGTAGAATGCCTACTGGCAGCAGTCCATTCAGCCCATTGAGTCCACTCCGACCCTCTGAAGAGCATCTCACCCAGACCCACTTCCTAGCCTGCTTCTGTAACCCGACATTCCCTGTGACTAATCCACCTCGCCTGCACATCCCTGGACACTACAGGCAAATTGGCATGGCTAATCCACCTAACCTGCACATCTTTGGACTGAGGGAGGAAACCCATACAGACACATTGCGAGAATATGTAAACCCCAGAATGGAATTGAACCTGGGTCCGTGGCACTGTAAGGTGGCATAACTAACCACTGAGCCACTGAGCTAGATCCCAGAATGAATTCTGGTCTGATAGATCATTTTAGTTCAACTAACATTAATGACATTCACTGAAACATTGCCACGCGAGGTTCCAGAATTTCTTTAACCGCAAAACTAGTTGATGAGGGTTGTGGATGTGGTTTACTTGGACTTTCAGGAAGCTTTCAATAAGGTCCTACATAAGAGATTAACATGTGCATAGATTGGGAGTAATACACAGGCGTGGATAGCGAAGTGGTTGACGAACAGGAAACAAGTACCGCACATACGTTTTGAGATCAGTCCTTAGACGACAACTACTCACAATATATATTGATTTGGATGAGGGAACTAAATGTAATATCTCCAAGTTTGCAGATGACACAAAGCTGGGTATGAGGGTGAACTGTAAGGATGATATGGAGATGCTTCAGTGATTTGGAGAGGTTGAGTGGGTGGGCAAGTGCATGACAGATGAAGAATAATGTGAATAAATGTGAAGTTATCCACTTTGGTAGCAAAAACAAGAAGGCAGATTATTATCTGAATAGTGATAGTTGGGTAAAGGGAAGTTACACCTGAGATCTGGGTATGCTTGCACTAGTTACTGGAAGTTACAAGCATTCACTCCCTCCACCACCGACACTCAGTAGCAGCAGTGTTTACTATCTACAAGATGCACTACAGAAATTCACTAAAGATCCTCAGACAGGACCTTCCAAACCCACGACCACTTCCATCTAGAAGGACAAGGGCAGCAGACATATGAGAACACCACCACCTCCAAGTTCCCCTCCAAATCACTCACCATCCTGACTTGGAAATATATCGCCGTTCCTTCAAAATCGTGGAATTCCCTCCCTGATAGCATTGTGGGTCAACCCACAGAAGGAGGACTGCAGTGGTTCAAGAAGGTAGCTCACCACCATCTTCTCAAGGGCAACTAGGGATGGGCAAGAAATGCTGGCCAGCCAGTGACACCCACATCCCACAAATGAATAGAAAAAAAAGTAAACATGCAGGTGCAGTAGGCAGTGAAGAAAGCAAATGATATATTGGGCTTCACTGTAGGAGAATTCGAGTGCAGGAGTTGGGGTGTCTAGTTGCAATTGTACAGGGCCTTGGTGAGACTGGGGTAGTGTGTGCAGTTTTAGTGTCCCTATTTAAGTAAAGATGATCTGGCTATGGGCACAGTGTAATGAAGGTTTACTTTATAGTCATTTAGAGACAAAAATTGATTGGAGATAGTCCCATGGTTTTGTGCGAGGAAAATCGTGTCTCACAAACTTGACTGAGTTTTTGACGAAATTACCAAAAAGATTGATGATAGCAGAGAATAGAGATTGTTTATTTGGATTTTAGTAAAGCCTTTGACAAGGTTCTGCCTGGTAGACTAATTAGTAAAGTTAGCTCACCTGGGATTCAGGGTAAGCTTGCCAATTGGATACATAATTGGCTTAAAGACAGAAAACAAAGAGTAATGGTGGAGAGTTGTTTTTTGGACTGGAGGCCTGTGACCAGAGGTGTTCCTTAGGGATTGGTTCAGGATCCTCTTTTGTTTGTCATTTATACAAATGGTTTGGATGAGAATATAGAAGGCATGGTTAGTAAGTTTGTGGACGACACCAAAATTGGTGGCATAGTAGTCAAGGAAGAAGGTTTTCTAAGATTACAGAGGGATCTTGATCGAATGTGTCAATGGGCTGAAAAATGGCAGATTGTGTTCAATCTGGATAAATGTGAGGTCTTGCATTTTGGTACAACAAACGAGGGTAGGGCTTATACAGTTAAAGGTAG